ATTAGCTTAACGTCGAAGCGGTGCTGACAGGGGGAGGCGCGAGGGGGGGTATCCGTCGTCGAACACGTGCTCGGTTCTGAGTCTGCCAACGTGGGTAGATAAGAGCAGGAGGGACGCGGCGGGGAGTCGGGGGATTCCGCAGCATTTGTTGACAAACATATATCCTGTTTTTTTTGCTAGTAAACATCCCTTCAGTAGCGAAGGTGGTTCTACGCAAGCAGTCCACCAAGTGCGGCAGTGAACTTGTTGGCTACAACGGCGTTTTGCTTATGATATATCGGATTCTGCGTTTGTCCTTAGGAGACGATTGCTTGGGTCTGGCGAAAAAAACACCCCGCTGTCCAAAACAAAATCTTTGTAGGTAGGGCTTTGTTTTTTGAGCGGCGGTGTTCCGTCGACCATGCCGTACGGGAGCGTTTCGTTGGCGTAGCAATACCACCAACAATGTTGTGCATAATTTGATTGCGTCATCGACGGCGCACGTATTCGAGCAGCAGCAACAACACCACCAACAGCCAATACAAACATGCGAAGGACCAGAAATCAAGACACAACCGGCGCCGCCTTTTAATCACGCCAACCACGCCGTTTACTGCTGCAACCAACACCAACGCTTTTGTGTGTCTCGACAACAGGATAGCGGCGGCGGGTCGGGCTTCGAGGACCACGGGGGGGAGCTGGAGCTGCACAAGCTCGACTTCTCCCAGGAAACGGACGCGGCGGGCGGCGGGGGCGGCGGTGCCGGCGCGGGGACGTTGCTCGGGAAGGTCAAGACCACGTGAGTTGCCCTCCCTCGGTCCTGCCGTATGCCCGTCAAAGATGGTCGCTTGAGGGCTGGTAATGCGGGAACCGAGGCTTGGGACTACTGGTGCTTTACATGTGTCTCTGGGCTTGTGTTGACGTATCGATGAAGGCTTGAGGATCCCCTGTGCTCGAGTGCAAGACGAATTTTGTTTGTATGCTACCCACCTGTATCCACGCGAGTCGTGTCTTGCGCGTTTCGGTTCAATGGGTCCGCTGGTCCGTTAGGTTGGTCGTGTCCATTGTCACGTTCACAGGAAGACTACTATTAACGTGTGGTCCCGAATTAAACTCTTGCAGTCCCTGTCCCCCCCCCAGGAGGTCGGTTACATGCTCGTGTCCTCTTGTTTTTGGCAGTTTTTTCTTGCTTCGTTGTGTATCGGTCTGTGTTCTTTAATCACTGCTGTACTCTCGTCCTGCTCTTGGCGTGCTTTGCAAAACCCCTAACTGTGCGTTTCTCGCTGCTGCACTTGGTTTGCTTGCTCTTAGCTCACACGACACAACATGGCACACCTCTATTCATGTGCGAGAGCCCCGAAGACATATCAGCGATGACTTCACACACACAACAGTGTACATGATCCGCCCGGACATTTTCCGGAAGTACAGTATTTTCCTAACACCGCGTTTGCGGTTCTTGCTTGTTTTGTTTTTGTGACAGCGCCCGCTTTGCCACCCTGGCGTGGTCGGAGATGGCCACGAAGCAGGCGGAGTACCCCTACGGCCTGATCGCCGGAGGCATGGGAGACGGCACGGTCAACGTCTGGGACCCCGCCAAGCTCGTAGCGAGCCACCCACAGCCGCAGGTGCGATGACCTAAAGCTATGCGTATGTATGGTATTGTGCTACGTTCGCGGCAGACGTAGCGTGCGAGCTACGAGTGCCGTAGAGTTTTTCACTTGTCCCTCGTCCTCTACAGCACTACGTCTCTCATGTCCGTTCGGAGCGTTTTTGCTCACAGACGATTGCTTGCTGCTGGCTGCTGCTGCTGCCGCTGCTGCTGCCGCTGCTGCTGCCGCTGCTTCGTGTGCAGGTGGCATCCGTAGCGCGGCATTCCGGTCCCGTGACGGGCCTCAACTTCAACCCGCACAAGTCGTCGTCCCACCTCTTGGCCTCTGGCGGCGCGGACAGCGAGGTGTTCATCATGGCCCTCGATCGCCCGGACGCCCCGACCGTCTTCGTGCCGGGGCCCAAGCCCAACACGGTGCGTTTTGCGGAGCGTTGCGTGCCTCCCGCTGTTCGCGAGTAGTGGTAGTTGTTGTTGTTGTTGTTGTTGTTGTCGTCGTGATGGTGTTTGGGTAGGCGGAAGTGTTGATGTGTGCGTTGGCTTGGTCGGTTGGTATATGCTGCCAGGTATTGTTTCTCGTGGCACGTTGGCTCACCCCTCCTCCTCCTCCTCCTCCTCCTCCTCCTCCTCCTT